TATTATTAGAATTTCTGGTCGTGGTGTGCATTTTGATTGTAATTTTACCTAATGCAAAATAAAAGGTTTCGATTCCCAAAATCTTAAGCAACAAGAAAAACACGTTCAATTTTCATCTGAGAAGCTGATTAATCATACTTTGCTCTCAATATTTTACAATTCGACGTCAAAAATTGCCAAATTATTAAACTTAATATGTACAAAACATTAACATATTTTCCACTTATTTTTGCGTTTATCTGGATTTCGAAAAGCAAAAAAAGAGAATTTCAGATAAACACGGAACAAGAAAAATTGAAATTATTATATTTTTATATTTTGAAAGACTTTTGTAAAAAAAACTGCCCACGAATTTCTAGTCCGATCTATACGGTGGTTTTTAACTACGTTATGTCCAAAAATTTATTATTGGGCGTGAAAACCTTCACAAAAATTGTACCAACAAATTTTTGCACTAAATACCAAAACCTTTTCGTGTTAAGCTAAATAAAATCGGTGCCGAGCAGCATTCGCCGTTATGCTTATTAATAAGCATGGAACAATGCAAATGGAAATTTTCATACTTTCAGAATTTTTATATTTTGAAAAATTGTGTACAAAAAAACTTGACAATTGAGTACTGGGCGTGAAAACCTCGACAAAAATTCTACCAACCAATTTTTTGCACTGAATACCGAATCCTTTTCGCATTTCCCTCTACTAATCTTATCCAGAATTTGATAAGCTAAAATAAAATCGTAGACAAGCACGGATAAGTATAAATAGAAATTTTTGTAATACTTCTAGTATTTTTATATTTTGAAAAAAACGGTAAAAGAATTTAACGAAGAGATCAGAATATTTTGCTATTTAACCATACTTTTTTTTCAGAATTTTTTACCAACATTTTTTAATTAATTAACTACTTAATAAAAACTATGCTACTTTCCTCCCGATTTTATCCAGATTTTGAAAAATGTAACAAGAATCAGGAAAAAAATGGAAATTTTTCTAATTCTGGTATTTTAAAATAATAAAAAAAAACTTATTCATAAAGTGGAACTCTATCTCATTTGGTATTTAGTAATACATTAATATTTAATATTTCACAAATCGACGTCAAACCCTTTACATAAATTCTACCAAAAATTTTCCCATGCACTACCCTTTTTACTTCCTCAATCTTATCCACGTTTTGATAAGCGCAGAAAATAATCAAAAACAAACATGGACCAGTAAAATTGAAACTTTGCATACTTCTGGAAATTTTACAAATATTTTAAAAATTGTACAAATCGACGTTAAAACCTTAATAAAAATTTTTGCCCTAAATATGTACATCCTTTAAACCTTAACCCGTCTTCGACTTATCTAGATTTTGATAAGCACAAACAACAATTGTACTCGGAAACGCGGAAAAACTTTCATTTTTCTAACAATTTCACATTTTGGAACCCTTGCTTAAGAAACTTTCCCCTACTGTTGAATATGATCTGAGTAGCTGTTTAATCATACATTATTTTCAATAATTTACCAAATCCATTGCAAAACCTTGACAAAAATTGTACCCCAAAATTTTGTGCACCAAGCGCTATAACCTCTACGCGTATTCCTGCCTCAACCTTATCCAGATTTTGATAAATACAAAAAAAATCATCGACAGACATGGAATAGCAAAAATGGAAATTTTTATATTTATAGCTTTGTATTTTAAAATTTGAAAAAAACTATAAAAATGTGATTCCTAAAATCTATTTTACAGAGGGATCAATTGAAATGTGTAAGTGAATGAAATGAATGGCTGGGAAAATTATAAAATTTTGGCAAAAAATTAAAACGCATTTACGATCGGTTCTTGAAATTATGAAATTTTGGCGAAAAATTATAATCCATTTGAAGACCCCAACGATCTTCGGAATTTTTTAATGCGAATGAACACAAAACATTTTTACTTTCGACCTTGATATTTTTCAAAATGCTAAAAACAGCAATAATTTTTAGGAATAATTTATTAAATTACGTGAACAAGCGATAAATGATAAATACTCGATTGAAAATGAGTTACAATTACAATTTATAACAATGTAACCATCAGAAAAAACTGGAATAGGTATGAAAATTACGAGAAGACCGTAGGCCCAAAATTGTAAGAAAAAATTGAGAAATAAAATAAATGAAAATCATATTAATAATTTTATGGATTTTATTTAGTTCCTGAAATGCGTGAGTGGGAGGAGTGGCTAGTAAAATTATGAAATTATGGCGAGAAATTATAGCATACCTTGTCATGCCAACCGTATTTTTAGAAGCAAATGAAAATCCGAAATTTTTAACTTTCGGCCTTGTTATTTATCAAAATTGTGCAAAACCCGGAATTTTTTTTTACCTTTACAATTTTTTTTTACATTTTATTGAATAACTTGTTCAACTATTGTTGTACATAAATACTCAATTGATCACGAATAACTACTACAATTTAGAACAATATGTAAGCGTTGAAATATGAAAATGAAATATGAAAATTGTGATCAATTCGTACTCATTTTAAAATTGTTAGAAAAAATTGAGAAGTAAAATAAATTAAAATTAGATTTAATCCACTACGGATGATAATTTTACAGATTTTTTTTTTTAATTCTTGAAATATGTATGTGAGTGGTTGGAAAAATTATGGAATTTTGGCAGAAAATAACTTAATCCACTCAAACCCTTGCCCCTACCCCTACCATACATCTGACATAGTTTTGTGTAAGTGAACACCCCAAATTTTTAACTTTCGGCCTTAAGATTAGCAAAATGGTGTAAAAACAGTAATATTTTTTTAGAATAACTTTAAGGTCGTAGTAATAAGTTACTTATGTAAACGACGCTATTGGAAATTTTATTTTAATATTGGCTCAAAAAAAACTATGTGTCTGGGCACTAGTCTTGGTTGTTCCCACTTTATTGGGTATTTTTAACTATTCTATTGGGTGGATTAGTATTATTCCAATCATACCTGTTCAAAAATTTAGTTTTCATTCAAAAGTCGGTCATCACGATTTCTGATTGATAATTTTCATTCACATTCAGGTATGTCCTTTCAAATTCATTTCATTTCACTTCATCCGACTTCATGCCTTACTTCGCCACTTGTATTAAGCATTGGGTGAAAAATTGAAAGAGTGAGAAATCTTTCATTCACAGTCATTCATCTAAAATGACGGAAAATTTCAATCATTTTCATTCAAATTATAGGAAATTCATTTTCATCCTCCATCATAATCACTCAAATGAATGAAAGTGAACAGGTGATTCTAATACGGAGGAATAATCTTTTCTATGCTTATCAATAAATGAACACCAAAAACATTTAACTTTCGGCTTTGGTATGGTGTAAAAGTAGCAATAATTTGTTTTCCTAATTATTGAATAACTATTAAATTACTTGCTTCGTCCATGGTGTGATAGAGACGGACGAAGATTCGTATCTAATCCTGTACTTAAATTTTGGAACGGTTAATTTAATTAAACCATGGATAATTTTATGCAAATATTCGTAAGTATTTAGATTATTTAGTTTGGGACTTAATTTTTTAAATTATTTTGCTGAATATTAAGATCTAATCGATAACGGATAATAACTTTATTTATACCTAGATTTCAATTCCTGAAATGTGTGTGCCTGAGAAATTTATAAAATTTTGGCAAGAAGTGATAGCTAATTTTTCATTTAAACAATCCTTTGAACAGTAAAGAAGGAATAATCTTGTATATTTTTAGAGGTAAGTAACTCCATAAATATTTAACTTTCGGCTTTGATATTCATCAAGAATGGTATACAAATTGTAATATTTTTTTTCTTAATTGTTGAACAACCATTAAATTACGTTGTTTTGTCCATGGTTTGATGATTTGTAAATAATCCGGAACTTAACCTTTAAATTGAACCTTTAGTAATTCTAGTTATTTTTAGATTGCTTATTTTAGGACTTGAAATTAAAAAATCAATTAATTGATAACGGATAATAATTTTATTTCAATTCCTGAAATCTGCTTGCCTTGAAAAATGATGAAATTTTGGCAAGAGACGATGGCTAATTTTTCATTTAAACGATGCTTTAAAAAATAAAAATATGTACTAACCTTTTATGTTTTTAATTGTTAGTTAACACTCGAAATTATTAACTTTTGGCCTTGACATTTATCATAATGGCGAAAAAAAACAATATTTTTTTCCTAAATATTGAATAACTATTAAATTACGTTCTTTTGTGCATGGTTTGATATCATTTGACATTCATTTGACAATTCATGTGTTTGATTATGATGGAGAATGATGGTGAATGAAAATGAATTTCCTGTGATTTAAATGACAATGATTGAAAGATTCAGGAATTTCAGATAATTGACTGTGAATGAAAGGATTTATCACTCTTTCATTTTTCACCCTATATTTTATCCTTATCATTTCGCACATCGACGTCAAAACCTTGACAAAAATCGGGCCAAAAAATCTTGCCACGGCTGAAAAACTATACTTGAAAATCAAAATTTTTGCTATTTGTTATTTAAAGTAAGTTTTCAGATTTCTAGCAATTTTACAATTTGGAAAACTTGTTTAAGAAACTTTTCCCTACTATCGTATTAAATTTGAGTTATTATTTAACCATACTTTACATATTCTTAATATTTAACAAATCGACATCTTACTAAAAATCGTACCAAAAAGTTTCCTCCTCTTGAAAAATTATATCAATTTCCCTCTTATCCAGATTTTGATAAGCGAGATAAAAGAAATCAAGAATCGTTAGTAAACAATTAAGGAAAAGCAAAAATGAAAATTTTCATATCTCCTTCTAGAATTTTTACATTTCTAAGAAATTTCTGTAAAAACTTTACTGCTCCTTTGAATTAATGCGTCAAATTCATCGGACAGAATTTTAAATTACATTTCCAGAGTCGAGAAATGATTAAAAATGTGCTAATTTTGGGGATGAGTCATCGAGTTTTCCAAAAAGTTAATAAAAAAATGTGCTAACCTTCCCAAATCCGAAATCTCGGAGCGTCCTTTGAGAAAATTTCCGCATTTCGATCCAGAGTTCGGGTGTGGCGGCGAAAATGAGGCCAAGCTCTTTTCCCATGGAACGCGGCGTGGTCAGCTCGTTCGAAACTTTGATTGAGTATTCGTCCATGTTTTCCACCTCGCGGAGGATGTCGTAAGATGCGATGACGACTGCGGGGAAAACACGGGATAGTAAAATCAGTGTATAAGTAAAGTACCCATTTGCAAGAAATAACGGGGAGAAAGTGGTTTCTTGCAGGGGAATACTTTGACCTGAAATAAATGCAAGGCGCAAGAAACCACGCCCAGCAGCGATAAATAGTTTACACGGCGCGTGGCTAGATGGCGCTTATGTCTTGCACTTTCTCCCAGTTTCTTGCATCTCGCATTTCCTGCTTTTCTCACTTTACAGTGCAAACGAATTAGCAAACCCGCAGATAGAACACTAATGCTTTCTTTTAAGCTGCATATTTTGTTCTACAAGAAATATAAATATGCATATTTTGACCTGTGAGAAATGCACGGCGCAAGAAACTACGCCCCGCAACAGCTATACTTCATACCGCGCGTGGCTAGATGGCACACATTTCTTGCACTTTCCCCCAGTTTCTTGCACCTCGCATTTTTTACTTTGCCAAGGAAAAAATATACTTAGCAAATGCGAAACACAGGACAAAATTATATATGTACATAATTAATAATTAATTGCCTTACCGGCCATCCATTTCCCACAAGAGACGGAGTACAAGCCACCATACTTTTTATAACCGAGATGGAAAAACTCGTAAGCTTTCGGTTTGACAATGTCGGTCAAGCGAAATTCTTCCTTTTTGAGGATGGCCATCCCTAAAACGGACCCCAGAATGGGGATGGTGTAGGGACCTGCAAGAAATAAATGCAAAGTTTCGTAATTTAGCTAAATAAATTTCGCATAATAAATATGGATCACTGAATAAATTTCGCTAATTGCGCTGAATAAATTTCGCTAAATAAATTTCTCAAAATAAATTTTACTAAACAAATTTTTTAAAATATTTAGGTATGTATACATTTCACAGAATAAATTTCTCAAAATACATTTCGCTGGGTAAATTTTGCAAAATAAATTTCGCTAAATATCAGTAAATTTCACAATTCTTTGAAATTCTGTAATATGCAAAAACTCAAACTTCTTACCTGGTGGGAGATTACTTCTCGAGTATTGAATCGAGTACGTATAAATGCAGAGGAGGATGACAAAGACGAGAAATATTAACCAGAACATTTTGCAGAGAAGTTTTCAAAATTTGAAACACTTTATGTCACTTTTTTGCAAAGTATAATTTTAGCACACAATTTCAAAATTTTCCTAAAATTCACAGCCTAAAATTTGCTACTTTAATTAACGTAGGACTCGATGACTCATCGTCAAAATCGCACATTCTTAATCATTTCTCGCCTCTGGGAATTTATTTTAAAATTCTGTCCGAAAAATTTCTCGAGCAGATCGTTCCCAATTTTTTAAAAAATATACACTCCAAATTTTTCCACTTTTTGAAGGAGGAGATCTCAAGTTTAAGAATCCTTCAGAAAAATTGGAACTCGTCGAAACTACCTCAAAAAACTCAACGCCATTCCATCAATCAACTCACCGACTACAAATTTGTCGTCCAGAATTTTAAAATAAGTTCCCAGAGTCGAGAAATGATTACATAAAAATGTGTGGAAATTTTGACGATGAGTCATCCAGTCCCACACACACGTAGATTAAAGTCTATTTGCTTTGTTTCTGTACTCAAATATTATTTCGACCCTGCACTGAACAGGATATTATCCACTCTGTCTCAATTTCTGGGATGGTGTGACCAGACCACAAACTGTCAATAGTCTTGATTAATGATTAACAACACAACCAAAGTCCAACTTATCATTACGATTGATAACGAAGTAATTGGAGATTAGTATATTTAACAATTGATAACAAGTCGAGAAAAAAAAGTTAAATACTTCTGGATGGATGTGAATTTAAGTTTTCATGGAAAATTTACAGAGTCCACTCCACACGCAGTAGATCATTACTGGACAGGAGTTCGCAACTAAACAATCTGCTAACGAGGCTTAACCATCCATTTAACCATGCTAATTATCATTATTATCCTCTAATAATTAGACGTCGGATATGTATCTATTTATGAAAAATATGTGTTTAATATTTATAAAAATAGGACAAAATATTTACGAAATATGTGCTATGAATATTCGTTATCCAATTTCTTTCAAGGAAAAAAATCGTCCCACATAGTTGAAATTTTTACAAAGTATTTACGTATTTTTCAAGTAATAGCGGAAATATTTATAAATATATTTTATATACCTGAAAGACATGCTGACTCTATTTACAAATATTTAAATGAGGTCTTAAGAATGCGGAGATTGATGCTGGAGGAAGATAATCTGACCATTAACCGAACTAACACAACTAATGCAAATATTAAATAGGTATAATAAATTGTATTCCAATTAAAATTTTATGATGAGATGATGTATTTACGGACTCGATTTACTACTCCAACACCTGTAATAACTTGTAATTCTATGGGCCATGGTACGAATTTCAGAATAAATATTATTATATTATTATTATTATATATACCTGAAAGAAAATCTAGAAATTTTAAAAAATATTTTGAAACTTTTGCGATCTATGCGAGTTGGAGAACACACCAACAAAGCCGTGGTCGGCATCAAATGAAAAAGTTGAGCATGCATACATATCCGCCCTATGATTATAACACGCAACAAAGAATAACCGGCATCGTAGGTATGTACGTACATTAGATCACGACGTCCTAACTAACCAACTAACTAAATAAACATTGGGTAGGGATGAATTGTTACGTAATTCAGTGGCGGCGGAAGTTGGGGGGACATTTGGGGACATTAGCATTGTGGGATAGGAGGAGGGACTTATTAACATAGGAAAGATACGAATTTCTGGGGGGCGCAATGTCCCCTTGTGTCCGCGGCCAGTGTACTACAAACATGTATCTATTTCTATCAAGTTAACACGTCACACCACAGTGTTCTTAACCTAATATTTGCCAAGAGCAATATCCATTCATGTGCAAAACTTGTTTCATTTTCCATTCATTTTTTTCCCTCATTGCGAAAAAATAGTCGAGATATGTATGAAATGAATGAATCATCTGTTCCCCTGTCCCCCTCCTTCCGCCGCCAATGTGATACAAAAATGTATCTATTTCTGTCAAGTTACTTAGATCTACATTACACGTCACACAGCAGTGTTCTTAACCTAATATTTGCCAATAATAATCTGCACGTGCAAAACTTGTTTCATTTTCCATTCATTTTTTTTTCTCAGTTGCGAAAAAATAATCTAACTAAGTAGGTATGAATGAATCATCTCCCGTGATGGAGCAGTTGGCCAAGTAAATAATAATTGGTACAGGTCACCTTAATCACGATAACTTTGTCTCCCTGAAATGAATACTCGTCAAGGCCAAGTCAAATCAACTAATCAAACAGATCAATTCAGTACAAATTGTTGAACTTTGTGTTACATTAACTTGGAAAAAGTGAGTAATCTAAAAAATGATAACATAACATGTGTGATTCCTCCAAAGTCCAAGTCTTAAACAAAGTTATCGGATATGTACATTTCTCTGTAACATAACATGGAAATGTGCTTAGATTAGCATAAATTGTATGCATGTATGTATTTTAATTCACACAGACTGCTAACACATAATGTGCGTATTTTTAGTATATTTTAATTTGTGATACATATCATCGGGCAATTTCAACTTGCAAATCTTGGAATAACCGCTAATTTTATTATGACACGTCTGTATGAAATGGTCACGTATTTTCTGCATGTGCAAATCATGTATGTGTATTAGTAATCGGAACAGGTATTTGTTAATTATGCAAATATGTACATATAAAAATGCCCAATTTTTTTGCGAAATGTGGTATTTATTTTGCAAATGCCACGACCACGTGTTCGTAGTACTTACATATTTACTAGATTTTAATCAGCAGCATATCGAAGTAGTGGATTGGATGCATACATTTTGTGAGAAAATTACTTTTTTTGCACAAAAATGCTAAATATTCCAGTACTAAAAAGTAAGTAAGTTTGTTCAGGATGTCGTTTTCTGCCAGGAGAGAAGTAATTTTTTCACATGCGTGCAAACCCTAAGCGTTTTATGGATGAAAAAACAGCGAAATGCTTTAAAGTTGTTTAAGGTTAAAAGTATTTAAGTGTCGACATTACGTTATTTTATAGCGAATTAATATTTATGATGATTACGACAGCGGTGTTAAGTAAGGTCGTGGAAAAATCAGTCTAACCAAATCTTCCAAACTTCCCCGACAAAGAAATTAATAATTAAAGTTCATTGTCCCCCAAGCCCCCCTGAATTTTCGGAAGTTATCAAAGAAGAATCCTTGAATATGGGAAGTTTCAAATGTTTCCGGAAACTTTCAAATGCCTTCGATCCAAAGACACTCGGCTTCCTCTGAACCTAAGTAGTTCGGAAATTCTGCAAGTTTTTGCCAGACTTTGGGAAATAGGCACGTACTAATTTCGAAAATTATTGTAATAATATCAACTTTATTGTGCAAGCATTGAGATCGTCATTAGGACGGTTGACGGTAAAAAAATATTACAAATAAATTATTATTATGCTCAGAAACATGAAAATTTCAGAATCTTAGAATTTCTGGTTTTCTGATAAATTTTATGATACATTTATTCATTGCCATTATTAATTAATTAATTTTATGATTTGATATATATTTGTAATGGGTATTATTATTTTGAGATGAATAAGAAGGTTGAAATGCGTACGGTAAAAAAATTGATAAATTTTGAAAATATTTTTTTGGCACGTACTAAATTAATTACCTTAAAGGTTGAAATACCTAAAATAATACGTACGGTAAAAAAATGATAAATTTTGAAAAATATTTTTTGATACGTGCTAAATTAACTAAATTAAAGTAGTTTAAGCCAGCATAAAAAAGACGAGGAAAAAGAAAATTACGATAAATTTATTCCTTGTAAACTAACCTAGCCCAATTTGTGAGAGGATTCTGCCAAACATTAAATTACCCAGAAGTCATACAATGTTTCTGCAATTAGGTTAAGCGTACTTGAATAAAAGTCAAGGGTAAAAATGCACCAAATTTGGGATCAAACTCGCCCAAGTGGAAATCATTAGTAAGAAATTCTTCCGTATAAACTTTGTTAACTTCTTTTACCACATGCCAAAGTTAAATAAATAGAATTATCATTAAAACATTATCAGATATCATTAAATCATTAAAACGAACACGGATGGAAATAGTGAAAAAATTCGTACATGAAAAATTTCCAGGAAATCTAAGTTCCAAGTAAACTTGGAAGAACGGATAATATGTATTTTATTTTCGTCATTTTTATCCTTATATATGCCAAATATTAAACAAGAAATCTGCACATGTTGCGAAATACGAAAATTATTCGCAACTAATTTTGCAGAGGAGCCAATCTAATTAGTAATTAAGGTAAAAAAATAAATAATTGTGACATATGCATCAATTTTTTGTTACTTAATTTTGAAAATATTGCACAATAAATTAGATAACTTTACGTGAAATTGTTATCATTGAACGATAATTATTATGTAAAACATGATTATAGTTTTAAAAATTCTGAAAATGCTTTTTACGACGTTAATAAATCCCAATTTTATGCTTTTCAATTTTGTATTATTTTCTTCTCTCATAAATTCATAATATTTAATAAAAATCAAAATTAACTAATAAAAAACATAGTAGTTAAAATCTAAAATCTTTTCATCAACTTATATACTTGATAATTTTTCAAAAATTTTTTCAAAATCAATAAAAAACAATTGTCAAAATCGAAATTCTTTCACATATTTAAATATTTATTCCACATTATAATAATTCACTTACACAGCTTAATAATGCCACAATTCGTCTCTTTTTACGCTAATTGTATCACAAAAAGTAAAACTGACAAGCACGTGGATGATAAAACCCCACCCCATTTTTGACCACGGTTTGAGCTGTAATCATCGCTAAATTCACTTCCACTCGAATAACGCGTCCTTTGTGGTTGAGCTTGTGGGGGATTCATGGAGGCATAGAGGGCATCCGCGGCGGCCAAAATCCTCTCCGCGATGTCGTCCATTATATTCTTCAGTTTTCTCGGGTCCACGTAATCACCACCACCACCTCCGCCTAAAAAAATTGTTTATAATGTTTTAGTTCATCTCAGAAAAGTTAGCAGTGTTTCTTTTCTTGCGGGTTTTGCTACATTTTTTGTACTGCAAAGTAAGAAACGGGAAAAATAAGAGGTGCAAGAAATTTGCACAATTTAACCACGTGCCGTACGAACTACAGTGGCGGGGCGTCGTTTCTTGCGCCGTGCATTTCGTGCAGGTCGAAATATTCACCTGCAAGAAACCACTTTCTTGCAGTTATCTCGTGCAAGTGGTTACTTGCACTGGAAACGCGGGGTCAGCAGTGTTACCCTGTGTTTCATTTCTTGCGGATTTCCTACATTTTTGCAGTGCAAAGCAAACAAGGCAAGAAATGCGATGTGCAAGAAACTGGGAGAAAGTGCGAAAATTTTGGCCATCTAGCCACGCGCCATACGAAGTATTTATCGCGGCGGGGCGTAGTTTCTTGCACGGTGCATTTCTTGCAGGTCGAAATATTTACGTGCAAGACACCACTTGATTCCCGTTATTTCTTGTATATAAGTATTAAATACTAGCACCCGAAACACTGAAAATTATGTCATTCATAAATACAGAAATGTCACCCACCTCCAAAATTATCGTCATCAATGTAAAACTCCTCTCCCGATGATACCAACGCCGCCGCCGCTGCTGCCTGACCAGGTCGTCCAAGTTGCTCCCGTTGGAAATTATTTGAAATTTTAGCCTTTTTAAATCCCACCTCGAAACCGACTCTCACTTGTTGATCGTCACGATTTGATAATCCTCCCAAATTATCAGTGTCGCCGTCGTCGTCTTTTCGAACTAGCAGGACGCCATTGTTGTTGGTGGACATGATCTCTCCAGCGTCAAGTATTGTCGTCGCGTCGATTCCCACCACCACCACCACGAATAATACCAGCGAGAGGCTAAATAATGTCGACATTTTGAATTAATCATCAATTAAAAATTTTGCAAGAAATTTTGATATGACAAGAAATTATAACAAACATCGAAATTACGTAGTTGTCAAGGATTGCGGTAAAAATATAGTAAAATTATTCATCTCATTTTAACGCATTTGATTCGCGAGAGTTTATTGAACATGGGAAGTCGGCACATACATATATATCGCGGAAAATGGGCATACATAGTTATGTATGAGATTTAAATATGCAAATGAGATGACCCACAACATTAATTTTAGAGTAAATGCTTACAATTAATTGACCTTTGGGTCAAAAGCAATCGCACTTATCGTCTCATCACGCTCAAATACTAATAGATACTCGTGTATGTACGGTGAGATTCTTACCCATCAATCTCAACTTCCCCACCACGACTACAACATAAATAACTCTATAATCTCATCTTGCCTCTCACACATAAATCCTAACGAACAATATTATTTACACGAGACAACGAATTCTCACCTCTATCTCAACTTCCCCACCAGGAACTACATAATCTCACATTGCCTCAAAATCTTGTCTTCTTTCATGCTCTCACCCATCTCAACTTCCCCACTACCATCATAATCAGAACTACTTGCATAATCTCATCTTGCCTCACATACTCAACTCTACGCGTCTCGCACATCTCCCAACTTGCTCATCACCACGCAGACCTACATTGTCTCATCTTGCCTCACATCTCTCTCTCCTCCTCCTTGCTTATACATAATTTCCAACCCAACCCAACCCAACCCAACCACCTCCTTATTTACTACATGAGACGATGAATTCTCCTCTAAAGCTTGGCACATTACATATGTACATCTCTACCTAACGTACCACTGCTGCAGTCGTGTGCTGCATATGGAATTTATTTTTTCCCAAGGTGCAATTCATTCTCTGGCAGAACTCACCTCCATCCACCTTCACTTTCACTCGCACTTTCACCTGCGCTGGCTCTGCTGGACCCACCCGCAACTGCATCCAATGATATTACATTACATTACATTACACCCATTACTTTCTTCCAGAGAGAGAAATATCTGCTCTCTCAAACCAACCCAACCACATCTTCTTCTTTTTTTTTTGGTGGTTCTTTCCTTCCCACATATTGAAAAAGTTTATTGAATTTTCCCCTCCTTTTTTATGAGCCTCCTTTCATTCCCATTACGTCCCATTGCTTTCCTCCGATGTGTATGTACGTATGTACCTACATTACTTACAGGGAGGGAGAGAGGGAGAGAGGGAAATCTAGTAGGAATGGAGGTCTCCCAGCGTATGTGGGATGATTTTTGGACAAATTAGTGTCAATGGGTGCAAAAAATTTGGGTGAAATTTGCGAAAACTTACATTACTTACAGAGAGAGGGCAAATTAGGCTCAAAAAATGGCAAATTTAGTTGGGACGAAATTTGCAAAAGACACGATCTCCCAATGGGCACGTTGTGCAGAAATATTTGCATCCGAAGAGGAGAAAATACCTGGCAAATTTGGAAAGTGTAGAATTTGTCGGCTTTAGGACTTATTTTCTCCTCTTCGGATGCAAATATCTCTGCCAAATTAGCATATGCTCTCCAATTTTGAGCAAATTAGTGTCAATCGACCACATATTTAATTAGGATGAAATTTGCGAAAGTCACGATCTCCCTATTGGCACGTTTGGCAGAGACATTTGCATCCGAAGAGGAGAAAACGTACAGTAAATTTGGAAAGTGTAAAATTTGTCGACCTTAAGGGGGCGTTTTCTCCTCTTGGGATGCAAATATCTCTGCCAAACGTGCCCATTGGGAGATCGTGTCTTTCGCAAATTTCATCCTAATTAAATTTGTCCTCGATTGAGACTAGTTTCCTCAAAATCGGATCGCATACGTTGGGAGACCTCCAATCTGAGACACACCAAAAGGTGCACCCTTCTCAAACGTATGTAAGACACAAGAAAATAGTACGATATGCACGTCCCCCTTCATGTTTCTTCTTATCCCCCTTTAGTAATTTTGATAACTACGGATGTATGTACACATGTAGTAACTGTCCCGCTAAGTGAGTCGTGGTTATCATCGTTAAATAAATACTGCTCTCCCCGTAAACATATTATCATCACTTGCTGTCCCATTTTGCTAACCCCCTCTTTGTTTTAGAGGTGTCGTACCGTTGCTGTAATTACGTTATCCCTTCCTTACAAGGGAAAGAAATACCTGACTTTGTACCTTTTCTGAGCTCACGTGTTAATAAACTTACCAGAGAACAGGCGTGGGCAAAATATTTTGTACGAAAATACAGTATTTTGAGCCCCGTTCTTCCCAGGGTTTGGATTTCCAGGGGTGTTACACCCACAAAAAGATGAAAATCTACGTGGAGAAGGCAACAGTCGTACGAAACGAATGGTTTTGTCAAGAAATTAAGTTTGTATCACTGTCAAATTACATTATTTTCATGATTTAAACAAAAAGTATGCATTTTGACAGCGATCAAGTAAAGTTTTTCGCAAAAATATAAATCTACGTCGAGAAAGCGTACGAAAATACGTATTTTTTTAAGAAATTTACTTTTTATCGGTGTCAAAATACATTGTTTTCACGATTTAAAATAAGTACCTGTACATTCTGACAGGAATAAAGTTAAATTTTTTCACAAAAACATTTAGTCCTACGTCAAAATAAGGTGCGCATATATGTAGTATTTAATCATGGTCTGATGGTAGTGGTGGTTATCGACGTGGATGGGGAATAAGTCTCTGTACGTATATCGTCACCAAGTCAAGCCGTCGTCGTCGTCTAGCTCGACCTCTTTATCTCTCTACCTGCGGTCATCATCATGCCATTTACCACCTCGTTTTTTTGTCAACCCTCGCCACAAAAAAAGTGACTGAGATCAAGGCTTTTCTTTTCTCACTCTTTACACACCACAGACACAAAATCTCATTTTTTTCTTGGGGTCTCAGCTTATTTTATTTTATTCCATTTTACATCCCACATCCAACCGACAGTGGCCGCGGAAGCGTGGGTGCCGACAGAGGGACAATCATACCTGTTCATTTTCATTCATGTGACTGATTATCATAGTGAATTAAATGAATTTCCTGTGATTTGAATGAAAATGAGTGAAAGATTCCCTCATTTCAGATGAATGACTGTGAATTAAAGGATTTCTCACTCATTTCATTTTTCACCCCATGCTTAATACATGGGGCGAAGTAAGAAATGAAGTCGGATGAAGTGAAATGAAATGAATTTGAACCAAAATGACTGAATGTGAATGAAAATCTTCACTCAGAAATCGGGATGACTGACTTTTGAATGAATAAAGTTTTTTTGAACAGGTATGGGGACAATGTCCCCACGGCTTCCGCGGCCACTGCCAACCCACCGACCAGGAGATCTCTTTCTTATACTGGATTCTTGATGGTGATTGAGTTTTCGCCTATACCCCGTCTTTTTTCTCGTGGTGGTTGGTTTGGCCGGGTTGGTTAGGAGTCCTCCGAGGCTCGTTTGGTGTCAGGTTGTGAAAACAATTGAGAAATGTGTCCAACCGCATTGCTCGGGAGAAGGGAGGCAGGAGGAAAAAAGAGAAAGTGTAGAAATCTAAATCACTCCCGACAAACATCAACATCAAATCCAGAGAACATGAGAACAACAATCCCTCCTCTCGGCTCAGTGTTCCCTTTCTAATAGCGAACTTTCCCCATTTCTTGCAGTGCGCAAAGTAAGCAATGCAAGAAATTCGAGGTGCAAGAAACTGGGAGAAAGTGCAAGAAATATGCACCACGCGCGTTATGAAACGTAGCGGCGGGGTGTTCTTTCTTGCGCCTTGCATTCATACCTGTTCAAAAAAAATTCATTCAAAATTCAGTCATCCCGATTTCCGACTGAAGATTTTCATTCACATTCAGTCATTTTCTTTCAAACTCATTTCATTTCACTTCATTTGACTTCATTTCTTACTTCGTCCCATGTATTAAGCATAGGGTGAAAAATGAAATGAGTCAGAAATCCTTTCATTCACAGTCAGTCATCTGAAATGACGGAATCCTTCATTCATTTTCATTCAAATCACGGGAAATTCATTTCATTCACTATCATAATCAGTCACATGAATGAAAGTGAATAGCTACGGATGCTTGCATTTCGTGCAGGTCAAAATAGCTGTAAAAACAGAATGTTCCCCAAAATTCAAAAAAATTCCTCAAATTTTTGACCAACTAAAAATATATCTTCAGCAGGAAACAATTATTTATAGTGTACATATTTACAAATGGATTTTTTAAAATGGAAAACTTGCAATAAATTTGCACTGGGAACCTTTGTCGCCAATTTTAAATTTTCCTGATTAGTGTTTATCTTGAAGTAAGTAAGATACGAGAATTACACGAAACCGTTTTTTCTTTGTAAAGTTCTGATAAAATCAAATAACAATTTAGAAATTGCTTCATCAGCATTTTTTCAGAAACAAGGTCTCCAGAAATTTTGGAGTGTTTACACTCTGATAAATGAGCATTTATTGCACTGCGAATGGAGAAATGAGAGGAATAGGAGGTGCAAGAAACTGGGAGAAAGTGCGAGAAATACGCGTCATTTAGTCACGCGCCGTGTGATGTATTTACAGCGACAGGACATAGTTTTTTGCGCCTTGCATTTCTCCCAGGTCAAAATATTCCCCTGCAAAAAACCACTTTCTCCCCCTTATTTCTTGCACCAGGTTACTTTCTCCCACCCGAAACCCTGCCAAACCACCAGCTCAAAATTATATCCACATCTTCTTCTTTTTCACGAGGAACAACAAATCCTTCATTATTTTTTACATCTTTTTTTTCGGAGAAGAAAAACAAGAAATAAAATTCCTACAGAGAGAAATAAAATGTATCTCGTTTCTGGGAAATTTATAATAATTGATTTTTACAGGGGGAGTAAACTGAAACTGAGAAACATTACTCAATCTGACATCTCCAATTGAAACTACTTCCTTAAACTTAA